TTGATCGGAACCACGTATTATCAGCAACCACTGAACAGACTTTGATAAAATTTGTGGACTGGTATGCTGTTGGCTCGTAAGATGATGTCTTCGGAAATATTTACAAAGTGGAGCAATCAAAATATCAAAACTGCCGTAACGTCTTTCATTTGTTTTTGAACTTCTTGATGGGCGGCGCAAAAGAATCCATTCAGTAATTTCATTTCCTGCTATCTGTCTATACTTTTGATCGTAGCTATTCGGAACCGAGTAATATCAGCAACCGCTGAACCCATTTTGATGAAACTTGTGGACTGGTATGCTGTTGGCTCGTAAGATGTGATGTATGTGTCTTCGGAAAATGTCATTAATTTGCTTTTGAACTGTTTGATTTGAGCGAGGCCAACGGATTCATTCAGTAGGACAAAAATAAAAACCTAAGTACCTTTAACTACGCGTGTGGAGGATTTGCAATTGTTAAATTTCATGAACCGCTTTTCATTTTTTGTTTCAATGTTTCGTATATAAGTTCACGTTTTTCCGTTTCACAAATGCAAAATAATGGCTAACAAGTACCAAGCCATGAACCAACTTGACAAGATTTTTTTATTATGTTCCACGAAGAACTGAATATTCCTACTATGCATTTTCAAAGCATTCGGTTTGTAGATTTTCTATTTCTTTGGCATATTGTTGTACGGCCTCTCAGTCGGAAAGTTTTGGTCGGGATTAATCAAATTACAGTACCAACCCATTTCATTTCTTCGATCAATCTGAAACATATACAAATTACTGACTTCGGAGATGTAACGAATTAAGTTCTTTATACTCTCAATTTTCTGCATGTTGGTAGATTTTCTTATTGTTTCGTAAATAGTATCGGGATTACCAGACGAAAGCACAGATTTGACTTGTTTATTCGCAAGTTTTTGAACATTTTCCTATGAGCTGTGGTAAAAAATAAAAAAACTAAACCATCCTGTGCGTAAGTTTTAAATTTGATGTGGTGCCTGCAATGCATTTATTGAGCCTAGTTGATTTTCAGTTTTCAATAAATATATCTCTAATTGGAGGTTTATGAATTCTTAGGGTAATACTAAGCCTAACTCTACTTTCCCTATTTCGCCAATAAATCTGTATTGTAGTTTTGCAAATGATAGGATAGCTATTTTAGGTGCTTCAGTATGTAATATGTTGTGAGTCATTTGCTTCAGTTCAATATTTAGAATGATGCTACCGCGACTATTACAACTGGGGCAGACAGCACATAGCTTGGAACAAATGTCCGTTAAATATCAAGGAAAAAAACAAAAATGCATAGAATTAACTGCTTAAAATATCTTGGACACACATTTAAGGTGGGATAACCATCATATATGTTATCAAAAAAAATCAGAAATGTTGTCTATAAACTCAAAATGCTTGAAAACATTCTTACAGAAAATTTTCTACCATGCCCGTATAATCTTAGCCTAAGGTGCCATCTGATCTAGATGTAGCACGAAAAACCCTTTTAGAAGCCATTTTCGATAAGACATACATTCTTCAAATAATTTATATAAGGAAACAGGTATACTTGATACTAGGCAGCTTTATTTCTCACATACCAACTGAGACCATAAACATTCTAATGAACAAAATTCTTATGATTTGTGTTTTCAAATAGGATCATCTAATACTTATAGATCACACAAAACAGTATTCAAAAAATCATTTAAATTCTTAGTCGCTACATTGTATAATGTGGTACCAAACGAAATAAAGGAACTTACATTTGGAAGAAAAGAGACAAAAATTAAACTGTGTTTAGTAGTATTTATGTTTGTTATAGACAAATGATTTTTGTTAGTTACTAACATATAATCCACACACCTTCTGTGAACCTTTTATACAGGGTGTTTCAGTTTATTGTTGCATAACTTTAAGATTCGATAGAACTTTTAAAATTAATGCATAAAATCTATATAAACATGGGTCGAAAAATGCGTGGCTTCCGAAATACAGGGTGTTTAAATTTACTTTTTAAAATAGTTTTTTTTTTAAATATTTCCAACAATATTTGATGTATAACAGTGAAAATTGGTATACAAGGGTTTTTTGGTACGAAAAACCGAACCATGGGCATAGTTTTGCTGTATCCGATAGAAGGCGCTCTCTACTGTACCTGTAGTGTATTAAAATGACAGAAAATTTTTTCTTAGTGCAATTGTTTGCTTTTTGAATAAAAAAACTGATTTTTCGCACTTTTCTGCATTTATAAAGCTCTCTTTTCGTTACAGTTAGCCGTTTTTGAGATATTCCGATTTTTAAGGTTCGATGCATTTTTAATTATTTATGGGAAAATAATATTTTTTTACATTTTCGATTTGGGCATTACAAGTAATTAAGATGATCGTTTAGATTGTGTTTTCAAACACAGCAATAATTCCTAACTCCAAATAAACACAAAAAAACAGAATATTAATTTGTTTAATTTTCCAATATTATTTTTAACAAATTAAATTAATTATTTACAACTAAAATGCTATTGGATAGTTAGGACAAACATACAAAATCCAAAGTAGTTGCTCGAAATGTAAACCCAATTGTTCAATACACAATTCACATCTACGAATGATCGAACGTGGTATAGCATTATTCAAATAAGGCCTTATTTCATCACATGCATTCTTGATTCTGTCTATTAGCATATCTCTTGTGGTTACGGGAGTCTGGTACACTTTTTCTTTTAGAAATCCCCATACAAAGAAATCTAATGGGTTTAGGTCAGGGGATCGTGGAGGCCAGGCGACTGGTCCTCCACGGCCGATCCATCTTTCTGGATAATTTTCGTCCAGCCAGTTTCTAACTATTCTCGAATAATGAGCTGGACAACCATCAAGCTGGAATCAGGCCAATCTTCTTAAATCTAACAACATAACATCATCCCACATATTTGCATGTTCAGCCTTTAAAAATTCCAAGAAGGTCGCAGCATTTTACCTTGCAGGTACAAGGTAGGGTCCAAATAGTCGATTACGGTAGATACCAATCCACACGTTCACACTAAATTCATGCTGAACATTTCTTTCCCGTACTGCATGCGGATTTTCATGCGACCAAATTATTATTATCAGTTCTATCAAGAATCTACTGATAAAATGTGATTCTTCGTTCTCCGTCCCCTGGCTGTAGTCCTTGCACAGGTTGCAAATGGTAAGGACGTCTATGGTCATTTCTAAGAAGACGGTGAACATGGCTTGCTGAAATTCCCGAGGCACCAGAAACTCTCCTAACACTTGTGGTCGGATCTCTATCAAACTCACGCAGAATCATACGGGTAAATCTGCGCTGACGAACATTTATGTTTTGATCCCTTTGGATTTTTCCAAAACCATTTTCAATTGTTTGGTGATGCACTCTTACAAATACTGAGCGAGTTGGATGTCGTCTGTTTGGAAATCTTCGTGCGTATTCTCTGGCTGCCTCTGCTGCGTTTCCATTTACAAAGCCATACACAAATGAATATCCGCTAACTCTTGATTGGAGAATAAAAATGGCATTTTTATAAAACTTAAAAAAAAAACAGGTAAAAGAAACTAAATTTCGTGCATTCACAATTGCAAAAAAACGTTTCAGTTTGCGACAGACAACAAAACTAACTGTCAACTAATTGACGTTTAACCTTATTCTGCTTTCAATTTCAAAAATATTTGCAGGCACAGCCTACTTCTAAAAATTATCGAGATACTGACTTTTTAATGTTATTTTATCATAAATAATTAAAAATGCATCGAACCTTAGAAATCGAAATATCTCAAAAACGATTAACTATAACGAAAACTCACAGGAGAGATTTTTTATGTTGAAAAGTGCGAAAAATCAGTTTTTTTTATTCAAAAAGCAAAAAATTGCACTAAGAAAAATTTTTCGGTCATTTTAATACACTACAGGTACAGTAGAGAGCGCCTTCTAGCGGCTACAGTAGAACTATGCCCATGGTTCGTTTTGTCGTACCAACAAACCCTTGTATACCAATTTTCACTATTATACATCAAATATTGTTAGAAATATTTAAAAAAAAAACTATTTTAGAAAGTAAATTTAAGCACACTGTATTTCGGAAGCCACGCATTTTTCAACCCACGCTTATATAGACTTTATACATTAATTTTAAAAGTTCTATCGAATCTTAAAGTTATGCAACAATAAACTGAAACACCCTGTATACTTATATTTGCCCATTTTTGAACAATTTTGCATTTTGGCGAATTATTATGATTATTTTTATAACAATAATTATACTAAAAAGTATGTATGACTTTTTTTACAAGTCACAGATCTACCAAGAAAATGTATTAGTACAGTGATCTGTGGAAAGAGAGAAATCAGTTTTTTTTTGGTCTCGATGTGATACAGGGCGGTTTCGATAAGTCAACAATTTGTTACAAATCGTAGCTGCCCTAACACTTTACAAGTATAATGTCCAGTTACGGTGAAGGACCTCTTTTTTTCCAACTGCCTATTTGGATCAGTATTCTAAATCTGTTTATTTGCTTGTATGGTATAGGGATGACTAAGAAACAACGCTATCACTTTTTTTTGTCAAAAAATGCATTTTTGTACATTTCATATACATTTTTTCTTCAATCATAACTTGTTAACAAATAAGAGTACAGCTCTGAAATTGTATATTAGTATAGTGCTTTGAGCGGGAATGCGGGTCATTGTTGTAACTCTTATCACTTAGTCTCTTCGAAAAGGTCTGATTTTTTGAATCCTCATTTTGCAGTATTCAAGAAGCGCTTAGATTGTTTAAGGAAAGAAAGTGATAAAAAATTAATCACACGCTTTTCTATAAAAGTGGAATATTCACATACAATTTTAGAGCTGTACTATTACAAAACAAGTTTACGATTGAAGAGATATAAACTATAAACATTGTCTTTATTCACAACATGAAACAATTAGACTAAAAGTATCAAGAATAATCCTCTAGTTTATGCTTAGAATTTACTGAAGTGCGATTTTCTTAACTTCAGGCGATACTTGCCCTACTGGTCCCAGTGGCCCTATCAGCACCCCAATCTCAGTACCGCCCTACGGTGATAAGGACCAGCACCAGCAGTAGTGGTTCCGGCGACGACGGGCAATATCACCCTGACAACAGTGGAGCATATGTACCAGATAATGCAGGAGCTTATGTACATCAAGATGTTCCCTACAGGTAAGATCATCATGAAGCAGTAACCTGTACTCATTGTGTAGAATAGTTACTAAAAAGGCCCTTTGGTAACTGAATAAAAAAATAAGATTTAAGAAATTGCCATTTTTGCTGATTATATTTTATACATTCCATGTTACAACTTCAATAGTTACGATTTCAGAGGACGGCACGTTTCAAGTAATCACATATTAATGATGCATTCTCTTATTGTTTTGAACTCGGTTTCTAATGAAGCTGACATAGTGAGCGCTTCATGGAGGCACAAAAATTACCGACACATTAAGCAGAACTTTGATAACTTTTCCTTCGCATTCTTTGCATATCTTATTGTATACTTAGCATATGATTTTAAGAATGGTAATAAGACCCGGCTGATAGATCTTAGGTAATGTTTGTTTCCATTAACTGCTGCTCGATTTAGTACAAAATTTGCTTCTCTCAAGAAATACGATTCTAATCATCTGGAAAATCTTAGCAGAAACTCTTAGGATGCCAAAGTGGATTTTTAAAAGTTTGTTACAGTAGCGATACAGTGTGGTCAACCGTGCATGGCCGGTATATTCCTCTTCAACTATACTATAACTATCTAAAACTGTAATGACTCATCGATGTTCACGTGAACATCACTTAACTACCAGTAGTCGGCTGTTCATAGGCGGGGTATAAATGTTTAACATGGGTGAACTAGATTTGTCACATGCTTAATAAAGAGTGGTTTGAAACATATTGTAAGTCAAACATTTGGGAATTACCTTTATTCATCGTCGCTTCCACTTACATCTGACAGTAATAAACTGCGCTATCGCTTTCCTCGTAGAAATTGACTATAACTGGCTCTATGATGGTGTCGATGTGGTGGTCAAGCTGACACATTTTTGTTTCTTCCTCCACAACATGACCGATAGCATTCTGCCAAGCTTCGGGCGTTACTAGCTGTATGGAAGTCTCAAGTAAAACCTTAACGTCTGGTAATTTGAAGGTTGTGTTATGGCGCGCAATATAACCCTTCACTTGAGCCCAGATGAGCTCTATTGGGTTCAGTTCACAGTGGTAGGGCGGTAACCGCAGCACAACGGGATTCCTTTTTCGCGCAACCATTGCTGCATGTCACTTTTTCGAGATCCCATAGTCGGTACACGTTCGGCTCGACGACTATGGTAGGAAGCATTATCCATGACGATCACAGAGTTGGGCTCAGCTCGCTGAAGCACCCCTTGAAACCAGCTCTCGAAGCAGCTGGCATTCATTTCGTCATGGTAATCACCTCCTTTCTTAGAGACAAAAATCAAGTCACACTCTTCTAAAAAGCCACTATCGCTACCAATATGAGTTACGATCAATCTTTGACCTTTCCCTGACGGTCCACGAAGACCTGTTGACAAACCTTCAATGCTTGCTTGTCGGTTACTCACTACGTTTTTGTCCATCCAGGTTTTTTTAACTGTGTGACCTGAATTTACCCATGTCTCGTCCAAATAATAGATTTTTCTGCTTTGTCGCCTATATTGAATCATTTCGCGTAGGTATTTTCGACGTCAGGCGACTATTTCAGGTCTCTCTATCAATACTGACTTCCGATTACGCGTTTCGTAACGAAAATTAATTTCGTGCAGGGATTTCCTCATTACCTCGACGCTCATTTGGGGTATAATTTCATTTTCCTTGATCGCTGCATGTACAGCCTTGAGGGTTGGTAACTCATTCCTAAAGAAGAATGAATGTACGGTTCGCCTTAACGCCATTTTGCTATCGTCATCCAATTTAACGGCCTTTCGTCCCTTCAAATTAAACTTTGGATCAGTAGTAGCTCCAGTTTTCTTCTTTTCATGCACCACCCTGCGAATGGTCCACTCTGGAACGCCTGTCATACTTTCACAACGCGCGAGTGCATCTCCCTGCGACATAGTTCTGTTCAGATAATTGAACACGTTGAGCACGGTTTCTTTCGCGTCCCTCTTCAGTGCTTTACGAAGCCGTCTACTTGTTCCCTGGCTTTCAGTACTTCCACTCGTGCCATTTGTACTTTCCATGGATAAGTATAACCAAAACAGTAACCACAGAAACCACAACAATAACAATCACACAACGATTCTTATAAAAACACACAATATGCGATCGCTCAACGAAACACGTTCCAATGCGTTGCCGACGCCTATGAGTCTGCCGGTCGAGGCGCGTCTTTGATTTCATTGGTTCTACCTGCGGAGGACAATCAGCCATTATTTCCATCTCTGTCTGTGCTGTTGACCACCGCAAAGCCACAGAAACGACATATGTCGTACGCTATTCGGCTGTACTGGAAGCCGGGATCGAGCTCTGATCACGTGTTGATCACGCGTATGAGTCTTTACAGTTTTAAATAATTGTAGTATTGGGCTTCCTGGGGCAAACTGTTTATTCATTGTAGGAAACTGCACAAGCAGTAACATTTTCAAAATATTCTCAATTATACAGGCCGAGCGATACGTCTTTTTTTTATTTTTGTCTCGTGCTTCAATTGGCTCTTTTAAACCAAAAACATTGATCTACTCACTTATAAGCTTTGACGATTGATTGCTGAACTATTAGAAACTTTGTCTGAAATCAACGTGAAAGTTTGACCATAAAGGTACCAACCATCCGTTAATTCTAAGTCTAAATATCGCACCCCAGAGGTGAGCCCCAGACACATGTATACCTCCCACGTTCGTTGTATCTTATGTGTGTTTTAAAATATTTCTTTGTATTATGAAGTTTCAAGGGCAAATGTTCGGGAACACCTTTGTGTGAAATATCTCTAGAGAGGTGCGTATAAATATACTTACAAAAAAAAGTATAGATATACCTTAACCGCTCTACTACCCCAGTCTCAAATTGTTTACCCATTGAAAATATTCTGGCTGGAGCGATTTTCATTTTTTTCATCTTTGTACATAATTCCGCAGCTGCTTAATCGATTTTCAAAGACTACACAGGTTTTTTTTGTATTTGACTTAGTAGTAACCTTGTGTCAAAATTTCTTTAAAATTCTAGCGGTACTTTGCAAGTTTTGGAGGGACCAATGATTCGCGAACCGACAGAAATAAGTGACTTGCCTTTTTGTGATATACATATCACATATCACCCAAAGAGTAGACTTTTATTTCCAACATATTTCGCAAGTTTAACGGTGGAACTATCGATAATCGGTGTTTTATGCAGACAAAATTCTTGATACCTCAACAACTAATCGTCAAAACACATAAAAATGTCAGACCAGTGTTTTCTTGTATAGGGATATGGCAACCTATTTGAAAAAGCTAACCTTGTTCAATAATGGAATACTACATTAAAAATGTTCTTCGCAAAAGTCCCGGTTTGTGAGCGGTATAACCACCGTAACGAGTTTGCCATTTTTGTTAATAAGAGTCGATATCCTAACAGGTTACAATAAAAAATTGGCAGGTCTTCTTTTCTAGAATCTGTTATTCGGATCATGGTGGTATTTTGATATCCTGTAACTATACAGTAAGGTAACCAAAACTGCAATATTAATCACCTACAAGGATTACAAGTGCCCGAAAAGATTGCTCTATACTATTGCCTAACTTTTCAGCCATCTTTGTTTTGTCAGGGTGGATATACTATGGCAGTTCCAAACAAAACCATACCATCAGTGCTGTGTCTACACTTAATCAATAGAAGAGGTCACCTTTGATTTTGAAATTATTACATTTTTTATAATGTAAAATATGTGAATAAGTAACAGGAAAAAGCGCTATATGCAGAAAGCAATCCGTATTAACTGCATTTGGAATACATAGTGGTATCACTACCTGTTTTTCTGGAGGAATAAGCATTCCTCATATTGCAATCTATTGCGCTTGTGTCAAAGATGGATTCAGAAGTGACGTAAACGGCAATATTTAAGTAATAATACTGAAGAATTATAAAGGCAAATGTATGCAACATGAACTCGATTGAAAATGTGTAGTTTACAAGTAATAGTAACAAGTTAAACCTTAAGGGAGAACTAGAATTTTTACGTATTAAGTAACAACATGCCATCAAATTTTGAGCAGAAATTCCGTGTCGCTTTGCAGATTCTGAAAGCTAAAGGCTAATAAAACATTTCCCTTGTTTTAACGACTTAGAAGAACGGCAAAAGATCTCTGTTCAAAATGCAAGACTGACTGGAAGTTTTAATTGTATATAAATGTGGTATGGTCACCATAAGGGATACACGTGTAAGTAAATACTGTCCTCACCTTATCGCTTAAGGTAGCTTAGTTAGAATCGCCTTTTTCAAATGGCGCTGCCACAGATGGTCCTGGAAAGTATGCGAGAGAATATCTGTAGTGTACTAATAATCTGTGGCATTTTCACTTAGTATTTACGGTGCTTAGCTACAGTTGGTTGACAGCCTACATATCGGGGGGTGATGAATATTGGTCAATCGCAAAAAGGAGGTATAACATCTGGAATGGACCTGTTACACTATAAAAGGATCTACTAACAATTTTTTCATCTACGGATTGGTGGCTGCGTTACCCGCTGTCACTTGGATAACTGCAAAACTGTACTACGTATAGTTCCTCACCAAAAAGTAAGACTGAGTGGTCTGTAAGTCTTATAAGAATAAATTGATCTTAGTTTCTGACACCTATTCCTTTCTAAAGGTTTGTGTCAATTACAATAATCTTGGATTTAGTTGATGCACGACTAGTATACAAACCTCATTAGTTTTGTGTCATTATTTCGACATTATACGTCGCATCTTCAACATAATTTTTGATAACAGAAGAAATGGCATATACATGTAAGTTAGGTTATTGGTGCATTTTAGCAAAATTACAATGCAGTCACGGAAATTTATAGCAAAATATCTTCTTCACCTACTATATCATATAACATAAGATACTTCGCCATAAGCTGTGATTCCTTAGTTCAAAAAATTCGAGATTTCGAGCTCAAAGAACTTAAAGATACTAGAACATAATGTAGAGGGTGCTCATTTGAAAACTTCGCACATCGGGTTTATCGAAAACCACTGATTAAAAGAAAAAACGCGCGAGACACGTCAAAGGATTTGTCAAGGAGGGCAACTTTTGAACCAAAAGCTACTTCACCCCACTTCACCCTCTGCCCCCCAGGGTCATCCCCTTTCAAAATTTTAAATGGCAAGGGATATCGAGTAATAGCTTGTTTAAAAGGAATAAAAATGGCCCAACCACTTTGTTTCCTAAAATGCCAGCCCATCAGTGGCGACTCGTGGCAAAATAAAACAGGTGTTCTGCAAATCCGAACTGACCTATTTTTTATATGTCAGTTCGGTCCTGCGCTCCTTCTTGGAAACGAATGAGTCGATCACCCTCCCGCTGAAATTTTCCATCGCCGAAATAAATTCGTTTTCAATGGACAGCATCAACAACGCTGTAAGGCATTCCTGGGTCATAGTATTTCGAAGAAAGGTCTTGATTCTTTTCAATGTTGAGAAATTTTGATCAGCCTCTGATGTTGATATAGGAGTTGTAACAATAATTTCTAATAGCTTTTTTGTTTCGTTTAGTGTTTGTATCAAAAATTTCAAAATCTCTGCAGTCATTCCGTGCATAAATAACAGACAACTCTGTCTTTAAACGACTTTTTTCTAATTCGGGATAAGCAGGTAGTTTCCAACTTGTCATCAGGAAATTTACCACAGTATTCTCCAAAGTGTTCGGGGAAAAAAAGGATGCGGCTACCAAGTGATCTCTGAATTGAAATCTGTCGTTTGCAGAATTCACTATATTGTCGCATACTTCTAATGCGGCAACTCGGTGATCGTGACTGCTATTATTACGTCGTCTCCTTTTGTTGCCTTGGGGTTCAGTGCAAATACTTTTGGCTTCATTTATTCAATACAAAACAGACTCGACGCCGTGTCTTGCGGGGGCAGCGTTGCCGGTATTGTTTCTATTTGTGTGATAACATGGAAAATAAATAATGATCAAATTACTACTGCTTTTTTCTGTTAAGACAAACATTTTGGCAGTTCTGCAGAACTTAAGGGCCAACCGCCTCTGCCGCCCATACATTAATTTTTTAGGGGTACAAAAGCATGATGATTTTCATTACTTCAATTCCTGCAGTTATGCTTATTAACAAATCCATTTAGATAAAATGTGCATTCATCACTGAAGCAGATATTATTTACATGAATGGTATTATCTTTAATCGCTGCAGCCATTCGTTCACAAAATTCAACTTGCCTGCCGAAATCATCTTCGGTTAACTCTTGCAATATTTTCTTTTTGAACAGATGAAATTTATGGAGTTTAGTAACTGTGTGTACAGGGCCTAATGAAATACCAGTCGCAGCAACAATTTTGCGTAATGGAGGATAAGGTTTTATCCCAAAATGACCCAAAACTTCAACTTTAACAAGTTATCTTCCCAGGATGTCTGGCGTTAGACGTGACGGTAGTTTGCCGAGCACATCATAAATCAGAATCAGTTCCACTCTTTCGTCGTTGATGTTGTCGTTTGTAATAAATAATTTTGGAACGATCATTTTCCAGGCATCAAGAAGGGCCATACGGAGGCGGCGGTGGAGAATACACCGGAAGTGGTGGTGCTGGAGGAGGTGGTGGTGGGGGCGGGGGAGCTGGAGGTACCGGAAGATATGTCGGTAAGTGCAATGTTTGTGTTCGGATAAGATATCATGTAACTCTGATCCGACTGAACGATATTGTTTATAGTCAAGTACTAAATCGGAAGAGAGTATCAGATTGTACGTAAACAGCGACAACATTAGTGTAGCACGATGTTCACTTTGGTACTTCACTAGAATCATCGGTAAACGTATATTAGCGCCATCTAGGAGACAGTAGCAGAAGGCACAAATGAACATAAAGACCTTATATGAGAAAAGTGTTTGGTTCTGTTACTGTATCACACATGGTCCCAGGATGTCTAACCTCTTTTGCGACCTCTCTAACATCTATTTTAATTGAGTATCTTCAGATGGAATACGTTGAACTGTAAACCTTCCTTTCCACAAAAAGTCCAGAAAAGATGGAATGCAATGAAGATTCCAACTTTTCTGCACAATCACCGAAAGGGGGTTACCATTAGCTTCCGGTAGCTCAGTCGGTGGCATGAAGACATCTACAGGCGTGTAGCTGTGTGTCGACCATGGCATGGCTAGAGGATAGAAGAACAAACAGAACACAAAAATTTAACAGATTTTATTTAACTAGAAAAGCACTTTCATTACATTTGAAATTGAAATTTCAAAGAACAAAATGAAAGATTTAAATCTTTGGCGCTGTTACAAAATTATCCACTTATCTTTCGCTAGGCTGGTCCATTTTGACTGAACTGAAGCGAGGATGGCCAAGGGCTTCAAGTGGAGGTCCCAGTTATGAGGGGTGACCTCATATTTAGTGGCTTCAAAACTAGATGTAGTCGAAAGATGCAGTGAAGTTGAACGTAAACGTGATCTTCATCCAGGATGAAGCTGTAAGTGATGGCGCAGCCAAGGCACATGCATGGGTGAAGGCACGGCAAAGTGATAGGCCAAGCAAGCCAAAGTCAAAGACAAAGGAAGGCAAAGTCAAAGACAAAGGCAAAGGAAGGCAAAGTCAAAGGAAGGCAAAGTCAAAGGAAGGCAAAGTCAAAGACAAAGGCAAATGGGGTGTGGCCCCAATCTGAAAACCGTGTGCATTAGCAACGTGCCCCAATGGCCAAGGCATTTCCAATCTCAGTCTGCCTCAAAAAAGAACCAACGATTTTCTAGGTTAGAATTACATTACATAGATTGATAAATTCAAACCGAAAATTGGAAATGCCTTTCATGAAATAAAATCATGAAATAGCAAAAAAAGCGCAAAACAAGATGGTGGTCATCAAAAATTTCTCCACATGCTTCTGATATAGAAACACAAATATCGAATATTCATAATCAACGTACTCATAATTTCACTGAACTATGAATATATATACGCACACAGAGGTAAAATCGATGTGGATCGATTTCTACCTCGTTTTGATTAAAGTTATGGCGAATGATCGAAGTAGTCGAAAATGATGTTCGATGGATATTTTAAAATCGTACAAGAAATAAACCACTTACATATCGATTATCTACAAACTCCAGGCAGATCCAGCAATAAAACTGTATAGTATTATAAAAATCACCATTTTATCCTATTTGGACACACATTTTATAAAATGCTAGCACATGGTGCTATATGACCTCATGCTACAGAGAATAAAATTCTCAGCTCTTGTTAAATCGGCGGCTCAAGTGAAAAGGAAGCGCGAGGAAGATCACAGATCAGGAACTCCGCATCAAGCGCGCTCCAAGCGGAAATGTTTCCAAGTAAAAAAGCTAGAGATGGGATAAGCTAGAGATGGGATTAATGAGTTGCGATTCTGAAATGAAAATCGAGAAGTGATTTAATAAATACAATCGGACGGTGAAATCGTTACAGAACAACGCCCGAAAGTACCCGGAATATAGTACTTGGTTAGTTATCTTCAGATGTTCTTTTCAATTCTTTATTCATATAAAACGCACCTCCGATTAAATTATCTTCAAATCGTTCCCATTCAATGACCATAATCATAACATCTTGCAAGCCTCCCATAAGAAAATCTACCTTCGTGACCCCCGTAAAATCGAGTCTTACCGATGAGCTTTTCGATAAAGGCAACGTAAGTGTGAATATTCCGCAACCTTGGCGCGGTTTTTTGTAGTAGGGTTGGTGGTTGGTCCACCTTCTGGTTTCAATTCCTATCACATGCACCAACTAGATAGACGGGCGAATGGGCAGCACCACTTGTGCCACTTTTCGATATCGCTATCAAAATGAAGAAAAATAATAAAAGGATGCAAGCGAAAGAACCAACCGAATACTAAGGATCACTGTGCATAAGCTGGTTAGTGCTGCTTTTCCGCCTTTCCCTTTGGAGTGGGAGGGGGACGGTTAGAGTTGGTATCAGACGCTACAAATTATACCCCGAGTCCAGTCTTCTAATAAAATTTAGTAATGCACGTATTTTCAGATGCAATTATTGTTTTAACGTTTAGTGGAAGTTTATTTCTCGTCTGTATTAGGAGTCATATGTGGCAGCCTTGCATCTACCGCATGACAGAAAGATATGATTAAGATCAGCTGCTTGTCCGTATACCTCACAGAGGGACGACTCCCTAAATATTATTTTGGGAAGGCGTAGTAGGAAAGTTTCATGGTAGACTTTATATTCTGGCGTAGGTATTTTGATCCTGAGAACCTGGTCACCAGCGCAACAACCTGTGAGCTGGACTAGACCGCCTCTCTCAGCGATCTGTCAGCTCCTCCACTTACACTCCTCCCTTGTATGATACTCCACTGTCAATTTACGGTCAAAAAAGTCTCCGAAAGTGATAATGTCACTCTTTCCTACGCACATCTCACATCCCACCGTTTTATCACTCGACTAGGGATTGGTAAAACTGTTGTCGAGATATTCGCTACGCCAAAGGATCCAACATCACATACACACCTTAATACGAGTTTCGGATGAGATCGGATTAATAAAGAAGTAGCTAATTAAGATTGGGTAATTGACAATATTTTGGGTGAATGCTTTATTTCAACCAGAATGTTAGCCGCAAGGATAATACAGGTATATTGACGATGTCCTCCACGCCATGTACTAGAACACTACGTATTCTTCTGTCACATCGCAACTCTTGACGCGGCATTTATTACAGAATTTTGCTTAGAATAGTATTATTAATACTTGTTTGATTGTTTCATGGTGTGTATAGTGATGAATGCTAAATAATATTACTATACTTTTGTCTAAAGCATACCTTATGCATTTTGCATGTATTTCTTTTAACAACCGTAATTCGTTGGCAAGTAATATCAGTTTGGTTTTTCAAACAAGTTATAGATTTTTTGAAAAAAAAATCATCAGAGAGTAATTACGCTCTTCTATAAATGTGTGCAATAGAATTTGCGAGCTGCGACCATAAGCAAAAAAATATACCCTTGAATAACATGAGCTATGCTGAGAGAAGAATAACATTCAATTAGCGGACATATTTATTTGTTACTCGGAACCAGCCTTGAATAAATGTTGCTTCTACCACCAGCACTATTAATTCTTGGTTTAGTTTCAGCTCGTCCTGCTACAGTTCGTCCAATTGTAACAAGACCTCGTGTGATAGCAACGACAGCAAGTTCCATAGTGCCAGCAGTGACTGCTGCTAGTTACAACACACCTGCAACCCTGAGGACAGGAAGCGCTCAAGGGTTATATGATAACAGACATTACAATATCATCAGATTAGAGCAGGATTCGATCCCAGATGGATACCGTTATTTGTAAGTTGCAGTTATAGTAACATTCTGTACGCTCCTAATTTGAGCTTTAGATCGACTTGTGAAAATCACCAAAATCTCAATTACTTGTTTACTATATACTCGTATGCAAGCAAATAGTTAAATACGGTTTGAATCCTGGGGTAGGAATAATAACAACTTATAAAATCAATTTGTTCAGTTATTCTCAGAATAGGGCAGAAAATACATTCAAGGATAACAGAAGAAATTGCTGTTGTAGATAGCCTTCTTGTCACTTACTCATCCAATAGACATTATGTAATTCTCAATAACAAATTGCGCTAAACTTAGGCTGATTGCAAAGCAAAACGGATATAAACTGTTTTCTTTTTACCTTGAATATTCGAGCCATCTCTTTCGATACGAGGAATGGTCTGAAAAAGTTTCTCTAAAGGGGTAATTCATGTAAGATTAAATACTTTGTTAAAAAATGCAATAGATTTGCAATATTTTCGTTTTCATCTATGGCTTTTCAAGTATTCCAATATCGCTGTAGTAGTCATAGTTATTACTGTACATTGACTTCTCCAATGAAACTGCATGCACAAAATTTTTGGTTAATGAGATCAACTGCTCCAAAAATGCTGTCGATCTTGTGGATACAGCTACTGCTTCGTCAAAAATGAGTGTTTTGGAAATATGTCTGATTTTGTTCTACTAGATGGAGGCGAATTTTAGGGCCCAAAATTCTATACAGTGTAGATAGTTATGCTAACGTATTATACTCCATAAAGTACCCTTGCGATATTATTTGGCCAATCTGTAGATTTGGTGCTCAAAGGTAAAATTGACACAGTTTTGAGTTTTCTTTCCCAAATCATGAGTGGCACGTACTGTATTAATTTTGGAAATGTAATATGTCCATTCAAACCATGCTAAAATTTTCGCTTATTCTGTTGATTAGTCAAAATACCTATTTTTAAAGTAATGATTACTCACTACCTACTTAATCGTATATATACAGGGTGGCGCATCGAAAACGAAACAGACGCATTTACTGACAGCTCAGTTTTTTTTTGAAAAACGGTCAGACCCGTCGATATTGTTTTCGAGGGGAACACAAGTTTGGCAGAAAGTCACGTTAACACGTGCAGCCCCCTGGGCGGGGGTGACACCAACCCTAAAATCTTAAATGGAAGGCGGGGTCGAGCGATACCTTATTTTAAAGGTCTTTCAATTCCCTTTATAATGATATAAAATTAATGTACTTTAGTTCAGTAGTTTTGAAGATTTATTGATTGAGCTAAAAGTAGACTTTAATAGGTACATCAGATTAGTTTGTACTACTTTCAGAAGAAATTTGACTAAAAGAATTTACTTAATAGTAAATGCTTTTTTTCACTACGCCCGCGTTTTTTGTGGCAAAAAAGTTAATTCTTGAAGAAAGATGAGGAAATATCTCGTACTTATTTTAAATTTAAGATTTTAGGGTTGGTGTCACCCCCGCCCAGGGGGCTGCACGTGTTAACGTGATTTTTTGCCAAACTTGTGTCGCCCTCGAAAATAAAAGCGACAACTCTGAGCGTTTTTCCAAAAAAAAAAAACTGAGCTGCCAGTAAATGCGTCTGTTACGTTTTCGTTGCGCCATCCTGTATATATAACAACGTGTGAATATGCTGCAAATAATAGTACCTATATAGCCTCACACATGAAATCGATGTTTTAGATCGTTAGCCTTCAATGCCCACCGGTGTTTAAAAAAATATTATGAGGCGCTGGGTCTTCTTATAGTATAATATTCAACCGTTGTGGTCCCTCCAATACTGTAGGTTAGCCCGTGCACGATAGGGCTAACTACAGCTTTCTAACACAAGCTTTATCGTATACTCATCATTATGCAATTTTATAGGTATGAGACAGAAAACGGCATCCTAGCAGAAGAAGAAGGCCATCTAGCTGCAGTAGGCCAAAAAGAAGAGGCCATCCAAGCCAGAGGATACTTTACCTACACTGGTCCTGATAATGTCGTGTACAGAGTGGATTACACTTCAGACGAGAATGGCTTCAATCCTGTGGGAGACCATCTACCTACGCCTCCACCAATTCCCGAAGCTATTCTAAGATCTTTAGAATACCTCAGAGCGAACGGACAATTGTAGAACACTTGGAATACTGACACGGATACAACTAGGATTATTATACTTGCTGTAATAAATTATTTTTAGGTTATAGTGACTATGTATTAGGGTAAATGCGGGAGAGTTGCCGCACTTTTTGAAAAATGGCTGTAATTTTCTTGATTTTCAACACTGTTCTTTAAAAATAAATCAATACAAAGGTACTGTATTAAACTTTATTGAGACATAAAAATAAACTTTAATTCTGAAGAAATATAGACAAAGCGAAAAAAAATTTTTTTCTATTAAAATCGGCATCTCTCCCACACTACTGGGAGAGACGCCGCATCAAAAAAGGAGAGATGCCGCAGTATCGGCATCTCTGGAAAACCCCTAATTTTCATTTCTTTTTCTTAAGTCGAATCTAGAACAGATGTTACACACTTCACCATACATGGTACAAGTGACATGTAGCCACTTTAAGCATTTAAGGCATTGCAGCCAATCCACTGTTTTAGTTGTCGTTTCGTAAACTTCAAAGCATTCCACGCAGCGTTCCCGATTTTCATTTTTCTTTTTGGCCAGAGGTTCATCGTCGCTGTCGCTCCATTGATTTTTTCTGGCTCTTCCTCTAGCTGTTTTTTTTGTACTCTTAGTTCCTTTTTCTTCGCTGTCACATTGGTTGTGTTATGTTTGTCAGGGCGAACCCTCTTCGTTATGTTTTCAGGTGATGTTAACACAGCTGCGCTTTGCTTGAACCTTTGCTTGAAGGATACAGGTACTTTTGGGATAGGAGAAACTTCTTGCAAAAATTTTGAAGGAGTGATTTGTGGACCGTCGCCTTCATCTCCCCTACCACATGCTTGAGCAGAACTAGTAGGGCTGGTGGAGGGTAATCCTAAGCTGGGACGGTTAGCATCTCTTTCTGGGGAAGTATCTGCCATGGCTGAATCAGTTATAGAATAGAAGTGATCCGGAATAGCATTAGGATCAACAGGATATATCCCTGTTGCCTTGAAACCGTTAATGGCTGTGGCCACAGATGCTGATCTTAACCAACTTTTTCCAATTAATGCACCGGCTTGATATCTCGTCAGGTTTCTGCTGGCGTTGTGTTTCATCCATAACTGAGCTTCCTGGTTAAAATAAGTTTTAAAAGGCTTAAAAAAGCTTCGGTCTAGTGGCTGAAGAGCCTGGGTACAGTGGCTTGGTAAACACAAGATAATTATATCGTTATCGTCAGCCACCTGCAGCATATCGCCGTCAGTACTGTGTGAAGTGTGGCCATCCAGGATTAATAAACACTTACCGGATGGCTTATTGGGGATAAACTGCTCCTTTAACCATTTGAGAAATAATTCCGAATTTATGAAAGATGACTTTCTATTCATATAAATTTTGGATCCAGCTGGCAATCCATCCGAAAATTCAGCCTTTCGGTTTACACCTTTGAAAATTAACGTGGGTGGAATGAACCTGCCGTCTGCACTACAGCATGCAACAACCGTTACATTTTCTCCTCGCTCTTTAGATGTTAAAACGTGGACATCTCTTGCACCTTTCGTTGTTAGTACTTTCCCAGGTTTGTTGATCAGTTGAACACCTGTCTCGTCCATATTGAAAATATGAGATGGCTTATCCAATAAATTATTTTCAGTTAGGATATCAATCAAAAGTTGAAAAAATTTGGAAGTTTCTTCTCTATTCATTCCTCGAGCTCTTAATAATGACAGTCCTTCAGCTTGCCTTATTGTCAATTCGGGATTTCTTTCTAAAAATGATATGATAGCCAAGAATAACCAGCCATCCCGCTGTTGTGTGAAAATTTGTGTTTCAATTTCAGCTTCTCAGCAAAATTATAAGCCAGCCGTCGAACTGCATTTCTATCAGGAGCAAATCCAGCCGCTGCCAATCGTTGGATGTGAACAACCAACCGTTTTTCATTTTTATGCCCTAGAACACCTTTAAAATAAATTATGCGGTAATGCTGAAGCAAAGTCTAAAAAATCACTTTACCTTCTGGTCCGAGACTCCCTTTCTGAAGATTACCACTGGCCATTCTACGTTTAAGGGTCTTTGGTGGGACATGATAACGCCTATGGGCTTCTCTTTTGGATATCTCACCGGAACTAACTTTATTAATGGCTTCTTGCAATTGTTCTTCGGTCCACAAAGCCCTAGGGCGTGCATTTGCCTTCCTCTGATATTTCCGTGGCATTTTTCTAATCAAAATGTAACTTTAATTTGATAAAATCCATGACAAAACGATAACTTTGAAAAAATAATTTGCGGCATCTCTCCTTCCTTAAAATGCGGCAACTGTCCTTTTTGTTGGGAGAGATGCCGCGCCCGCTTATCAAAATCACGCATTTACAACGCGACAAAATATAACATAGCATGTGTGGACATAACCTCAAAATACTGGAAAAAGCTTACGATTATCAAATAAAACTACCACCGTGCAAAAAACCACACTTTCTAGGATACAGGCTAAAATTTTGCAAAGAAAATTCGATCTTACCTTCCTAAATTCGAGGATAGCATGCAATATTCCAAAAAACAAACACGTTCGACGTCGTAACCGTTCACTAAACGATCGACTTTCATCATGGGTACACTCGGTTGCCTACTCTATGGCATTAGCGTTGAAATACAACAAAAGCGGCGTCTCTCCCGCCGCGGCAACTCTCCCGCATTTACCCTATATTAATATTTAAGGGCACAGCAAAACAGTGATGAAATAAATTGAATATGTGAAGGTTTATCTAGGACACACGTGTTGTTTTTAAATGCATAACAAAGAAGTAACCGAAAACCAATTTTATATTCAATAATAATGTGGAATTTGGCATCTTTCGACATAGCGAAGCGATGACAGACGCCAATAAGCATACTTGATTTTTAGCAGTGAATGGTATAGAACAAAAGGAAATTCTATTTGGAAACTTCTCGTGATTTCCTTTCTGTCTCGACAACTTGAATATAGAAATTATGGCGACATACTTATATGAAACGATTTCCTCGTAAGCGTACACGTGTATTTCCTCATATTGGCTCACTCTCGAATCAAGTTTGACATCTAAGGTTCCAAGAACGGGGTGCCTGAAATAAATCCATGGGATTCGCATCCAAGCGATGAAATCTCCTGCATTGAAAACGTTTACTTTCCACCAATTGAATAAGATCAACGTTAATTCAAAGTCTCAGACATAGTCCTAAATATTTCAATTTTGCAAATGGAAGCTTGTCGTTGATGATGATCTTACCATAGTTAATATGTTTACCTTATGCCCATGCAGATTATGATTATCAGTTATTACACATGCAACAGATTTCAAGTCTAAAGCAAATTAAATGCCTGGATTCATGCTCTTGGAGCTAACCCTGTATATTGCCCAATAAACTAGTAGTGATGGCCGGAAAACAGGTGTATTGAGATAAGCAATTAGAAATTCTCAGAAACTACTTGACCAATGTGTTGTGGTTATTTAGAAGTACGAATCCTACGAATTTGAAAAATATCAAGTATCTGCGAGAAACCATCGTTGCATTACCAACAAGTGCCAAAGCCTGCAGTTTGCCTCGGTTTTAGACCATAACTATTTTGCTATAAGTCAGATCTTCTTACGTGTGGTCTCATTTTGTAGGTCCTATAAATTTCAAGTTTTGCATATAGAAACATAGTAGGCCGCGCGGATCGAACGTTTGTACTGAATCTTAACCTCACTCTTTAGTAAACTTAAATTTAAAGTTTTACAAGAATACGTGCAGTGTTCTCACTACAGTGAATTTTCAAGTGTCACCAAGACATTAGAAAAATGGAACTATACCGAGAACATTTTCGCGCCATAATTTATTACAACTTTCAGAGACAATTATCGCAACAAGAATGCCTTGTTGAGTTACCGTCTGTTTTCGGCAACCAAGCGCCACATCAGTCGACAATTTCCCGTTGGTATGGCGAATTCAAACTTGGACGGGTGAGTCTTAACGACGATTTCAGGGTGGGTGCACCAAAAACCGCAGTCACCCGGAAAAACGTCGATGCTGTGCACAAACTCATCACGGACATGTGACATATCGCGAGATTGAGGCATCCTTGAAGATCTCAATGACCTCAATTCAAAAAATTTTTCATGAAGAATTAGGAGTAAGAAAATTAGTTTCTCGTTGGATACCCCACCTGTTGTTTTTGCCAAAAGTCATCACCGAGCTTCGAAAAATCAACCCCGAAAGTAGAATCCTCCTCCACCAAGACAATGCAAGCTCGCACATAGCCCAAAAAACAAGGCAGTATTTAATGGAAGAAAACGTGGAATTATTGGACCATCCTCCATATAGTCTCGACCTAAGTCCTAACGATTTCTTTACTTTCCCGAAAATTAAATACAGACTGCGTGGTCAAAGGTTCCAGTCACCAGAAGAAGCAGTTGACATATTCAAAAATGCCGTTTTGGATCTGCCAGCAAACGAGTGGAATAAGTGCTTCGAAAATTGGTTTGAGCGGATGCAGATGTGTATTAATCTTCGAAAAACAATAAAGTCATTTAAAACTACCTACGGTGTTGTTTTATTTCCATATGCAAAACTTTAAAGACATCACTCGTACCTAAAAATTTTAAACAGAGAGTTTTTCCGTTCCTGCCAGCTCTTTCGTTTGAATCCAAAAAAAAACACGCTTCCTCATTCTTGGTTGTCGAATAAAAACATTTCCCACAAAAATTGGTGTACCCATTTTATGCGTCCATGTGTTGAATACCCCCTTGAACAACTTGCAGCATAAAAACATGACATTACAATTATTTTGCAAAACAGGGGTATAATATGATTAGGCTAATTAGTTGAAATCCTTTAACATAGGGTATTGTTTCCAAAGTACTTGGTTCACGAAAAAAAAAAACCAAACGAGAAATTAAATTGCAAATTGCAATTTGATTGAAGATGGGGACGTAATTATCCGGTATAAAGTCCCAACAACAAACGCTAGCTTCAAAAAGGATTTTTTTGCGGAAGCTGATACTCAACCCTTTATATCAAATGTAGTAGTCGACTGGATTGGTATTTTAATTCAACTTCGGATTTTGAGCTGTGTAAGTACTGTTAGGCTAGCGGAAATACTTCTTTTCGTCTACAAATTAAGCTCATGTTATTTTGATGCAAAAAAGGATGGGTTACGTTTTTTCTTCAAAACAAATTCAAACATTTCGTGTTTGTGAGTAATTCGCAACAAAAGATGATAGACACATCCGCTTTGTTTCAAAATGTGTATAGTAACGTACGTTTTTCGAATATCGTAGCGCATCTGTTCAATTACTCACAAATACGAAACGTTTGAATTTGTTTAGAAGGAAAAATCGTAACTTTTATTAAATGCTCTTTGAGCGATCCCTGTATATAGCTCACTAAACTAGTAGTGATGGCCGGAAAACAGGTGTTTTGGGATAAACAATCGGAAATTCTCAAAAACTACTCGACCAATCTACTCCAATTTTGTTGTGGTTATTTAGAAGTACCGGTCCTACAAATTTGTAGAATTTCAAATATCTGCGAGAAAGTTTGCCTCAGTTTTCGGTTATAACTTTTTTGCTAGTAGTCGGAGCTTTTTACGTGTGGTCTCATTTTGTAGGTCTCATAAATACCTAAGAATCTTATATGAAGAGTTTTTTTGTTCCTGCCAACACTCTCGATTGAATCCAAAAAAACACGTTTTCTCATTCGTTGTCGAATCAAACTTTTTCCCACAAAAATTGGTGTACCTTTTTTATGTGTCCATGAACAACTTGCACCAATAAAACCAGACTTTACAATTATTTCGAGGAAATTTGCTAATATGATCAGACTAAATTATATAATTATAAATATTAGAATGATTTCTTGAGCTACGGCAGGTTGCTTTATTCGGTTTAAACTGGAAGAGTGTTGAATGAAGAACTGGTTGCCTATGGTTTTAACACGTTTCAGACAATCTATCTTAAAATTCCCCTCCAAGTAATACTGGTTGCTGGCGAGTTTTTCCACTCATGCTAGAAATCTTAAGAATTATTCATCAATAGGTCGAAGGATCACTAAGAGATGTCACTTTACAGCTAAGCCGATTACTATAGTGAGAAGTATCTGTGAAATGTCAGTACATAGAATCACAGACTTGTCAATAGGAAACTATGTAGACATGTTTTATTGGTACAATCTCTCTGACACTCCAGGTCTTGTATACAGGGTGACGGGAAAATAGATGCTGAGCCGGTGGGGGGGAGATAGTACAAGCCAATCTGAGTCGATTTTACTATAGGAACTACTGTCCGAAAATTAGCCGTTTTCGAATTATACTAATTATTAAGATTTTATAAAATTAACGTCCTATATACGTTGACCAAGTCATAAAACTTTAAAATTGGGTGTTTCATTTGATTTTTTTGGTTTTAGAATAAAAATATTCTAAAATACAAAAATTGATACTCAAATGTACATTACTGACGTTATTTCATGCAGTCAACTTCAAAATAGTTCAATTTTTGTTAAAAAAAAAACATTCGTTCATCTCAAAATCTCCATTTACTAGAAAGAATCACCTACAAATTTTTCGTGCAAAACAATTTTAAAATATCTAAGTTTCATTACCTTTGAAATGAGGTATCAAATTCACAACCCGGTTTAGAAATGATGTTGAAGATAGCAATTATTCAAGAAAACGCTCATTATTGGCGTGAACGTGCAGTAGGAAATCCTCATATAAAGAGACCAAAAGGATCCCAAAGGCGATTTTGTCTGAATGTCTGGATGGGCATTATAAATAACTGTTTGGTAGGACCACATTTCCTACCCAACTTAAATGGAGAAGCCTACGAAAATTTCTTAAGATATGTTCTATTTGAATTACTTGAAGACATGCCGCTGCACACAAGACACAGAATGATTTTTCAGCATGACAAGTGCCCCGCACATTTCAGACTAAGTGTTAGAAATTGGTGAGCAGTTTCCAAATCGATGGATCGGTAGAGGCGGACCAATCCCATGGCCAGCACGCAGTCCCTATCTCACACCTATGGACTTTTTTGTGTGGGGTCGCATGAAAACTTTAGTATACTCTGATCAAAATCCTGTACCCACAACAGAAGACCTCAGGATAATACATGCAGCATAAGAAATTGTAGTCCCTCGTAGGAATTCGGCGGTAGTAAAATCACCTGCCATAAGAAGAGCACGTGTGCATTAGAAATAAAGGGCGCCATATTGAAAATGTATTATAAAAATAAAAAAATGTAGTTTCAAACAAATTATCCTGTATTAAGGTATGATTTTGTAAGTCTAGTATTTTTATTGCATTTTCCTTCCTCCTCTTATAATAGTCATATTTTTGGCAATTCTTAATCGATTCGTGATTTTTATACCTCATTTAAGGGTAATGAAACGTAGATGTTTTCTAATTATTTCGTACGAAAAATTTGTATGCCACTTTTCCTAGTAAACTGAAGCCTTTGAGATGAACGAAGATTTTTTTAACAAAAATCGAACTATTATGAAGCTTACTGCATGAGGTAACGTCAATAATGTACGAGTATAAAGGACGTTAATTTTGTAAAATCTTAATAAGTAGTATAATCCGAAAACGGCTAATTTTCGAACAGTAGTTCCTATGGTAAAATCGACTCAGATTGGCTTGTACTATCTCCCCCACCGGCTCCGCATCTATTTTCCCGTCACCCTGTATACATACGTTTTAATAACCTCAGAATGTCAATTTATTTTCGTCTGAGGCACCGAAAACAAAAAAGTTATATAAATAATTTAGACATCCCTAGAAGCTCTAAACAGCAACTACATGACACTTTTGAGATGTCCTCAAAGCATTTTTAAGCGACCTCGTTTGGTCTCAATTAAGTTCCATTGCACATATACAGGATGTCCGCAAAGTTGGGGTTTTCCTTTACACGACGTGTAGATCTTGAAAACATAAGCAATTTTTCTTAGTACCATATACACCAATGTCTTAAGGGAACCGAGATAAAGGGCTCTGCAACATCAAAAATATCTGAATACCGTCCTGTAGCCGCGACATCACCGACTGGTACATGGTCACTGGCTCAACCCGACGACAGAACTGGGTCGAGGTCAGTGTGTCAGGTCAGTATGCAACCTTCAACCGACGGTTACGGTCACGCGTGTAGAGGTAAACGAACCCGTATAATCGATTGCGTTTTAAAAAAAAATAATGGTTACACACTCATACACCAATAATGAACTCGTTGATATGTTGTTAATTTACGGCGAATGTCTTCAAAATGCTACAAAGGCTTCGCGAGTGTATGCATATCGTTTCCCTAGACGACATCATCCAAGGCCCCGCAGATTTGTGTACCTGGTCCAGAGAGTCAGGGATACGGGCCATTTGGAGGAATTTCGAGGTGGGCACAGTGGGAGGCCTAGACAATCACGAATGGTGCAAGTTGAGGAAGAACTACTGAATCGCGTAGACGAGAATCCCTCAACAAGCACAAGAGACGTGGCTAGAGAAGTGCAAGTATCAAAAAATAAAGTGTGGCAAACGCTGCGTGAAGAGGGGCTGTATCCGTTTCACGTCCAACGTGTACACGCCCTTCAACCTGACGATTTTCCAGCAAGAATGCAGTTTTGTGAGTGGTTGTTGCATCAACATGACAATAATCCGGACTTTTTGAAGTGCATATTGGTGACAGACGAATCTACGTTCACGCGTAATGGGGTGAATAGCTTTCGCAACACTCATGTTTGGTCAGTAGAAAATCCGCACGCTGTCCTTCGGGCACATTTTCAACAATTATTTTCGGTGAATGTTTGGGCTGGCATGGTGAACGGTATGCATTTTGGACCATTTATTCTCCCGATTGGACGGGATGCAATACCTAGACTTTTTACGCACATTTTGCCTTCCTTCTTAGAAGATGTGCCATTAAGTGTAAGACAATCAATGTCGTTTCTGCACGATGGTACACCGCCCCATTTTAGACGTGAAGTGCGTGAGTTTTTGAATGAATTATTTCCGAATAGGTCGATCGGACGTAATGGACCCGTAGCGTGGCCTCCGCGATCTCCAGACTTAACACCATGTGATTTTTTTCTTTGGGGAGAAATGAAACGCTTAGTGTACCAAACTGAAGTGCATACGGTTGACGAACTTCGTCTCAGAATTGAACAAGCTGGTGCTTCCATTCGGGGGAGCGACTCCATTCTCAAAGCCTGCACCGATAACTTCGAACAATACCTATAAAGTACGTTTACCTGAAAACTGAAAACGCGGCAACGCCGTCATATTTGTTACCTCTGTTCGTGGTCTGCACCACCGCCTGCGTCTGCTCGGTAGCGCATCAGCTGATTTCATTTTCTGTTGGAGCGGTATGATTTCGGGCAGGGACATACTTAGCCCTTCTGGTCAACTGGAGAGTGAGTACCTTTTCCTTTATTTTTTTTACTTTGTCGCCCTCGTTTCACTACACATTACCTTTGTTTTTCCAAGGGTAGTTGTTTCAGAAAAGGACAACCCCAACTTTGCGGACAGCCTGTATGTGCTTACTTTTGAGGAAGATGCGATAGAATAAAGTTTGTGACGGTTTGATTTTC